GGAAGATAAGAGAAAGTTATCAATGAACGCAAAGGCAATCAACATCCTCCATTGCTCTCTCGGCCCCGATGAATTTGCACGAGTATGCTCATGCAAAACGGCCAAGGAGGTATGGGACTTGCTACAAGCTACTCATGAAGGCGACGTCTCAACTAAGCAAACGATGATTGCCCTTGGGAATTCCGAATACGAATCTTTCAAGAAAGGGCCATGCGAGACGATCCAAGACATGAACAAAAGGTTCAATGAGATCGTCAATAATGCGAGACGATTCAAGACACATGACGGGTGATGCGAGCCTTTTGAGCAATCTAATCACCTATGATGGTCCAAGAGTTACTTTTGGAGGAAGCAATGATTTTGGCCTTACAAAAGGGCTAGGAAGTCTGGTGTACAAGGGACTAACCATCCAAGCTGTATCTTATGTGGAAGGTCTCAACTATAACCTTCTTAGCATAAGTCAGTTTTGTGATAAAGGTCCTTCTCTGGAATTCTTCAAAGACATGGCATCCCTCAAGAACATCTCCACAAATGAAGTCATTCTCACTAGGAAGAGAATCAGAAACATCTATGAAGTGATATGGGACGATGTCAAGGAAGCATGCCTAATTATCAGCAAAGGTGACACTAACCTTCTATGCACTACTACAGAAAAGGAATACACAGCGGATAAATTTGACATTTCACAGCGGAAACGAACCGCTATGTATGTGGCCGGTGGGAAAGATTTTATGCTTACACACCGGATAAATATCCGATGTGTAAGGATGGTAAAAAAACGCGCATGATTAAACAGCGGACATTTATCCGCTGGGTAAGAATGGTTTAAAAGCACACATGATTACACGATGATTATTTATCCGCTGTGAATGAATTGTAAAAAAAAAAGCACACGTGATTTCACAACGGATAAATATCCGCTATCTAAAATAACTTTTATTTAAAAAAATAATAATATATATTCTAAACTATCCATACAAAATTACGTGCACACACATTTTAAATTATTGAGCTATTACATAAATTTAATTCTTATTTACAAAATTTAAAAAATGTCTTTATTATAAAATTACTACCTCCGTCCCACTCTTTTTATCCAGTTTTGACTTTTGGAACTGTTCATCTAAGGACTTTGACTCATCAAATTCTCTCAATGTGTAAGTCTAAAAATAGTCATGTGTGATCTTGTTTGATTTGTCTTAACATATAGATTATTAATATATAATTTTTATAATTTTTTAATATATAAATTACAAGATAAAATAGATTAAAGAAGTGCATTGGATGGTGTGCAAAAATGAAAGTGGACAAAAAGAGTGGGACGGAGGAAGTATATTGTTACAATCTTCTTATCTGTTAACTAAATTATTTTAAACTATTTAAGAAAATAGCATATCTAAATATTACATCAAGTAAAAAACCTCAAAAGACCCAATAAGGAAAAACATTTTAATCCTCGATGACTGGAATTGGGAGTTATGCCCTCATAAAGTCTATCATTTACTCCACTTCTTCATCCTCCCGACTTTAATTTGCCAAAATCTAGCTCAGACCATCTGTGTAGATTTCCTTGTGGCACTTCCTGATCACGTTGATATCTAACATATAGTCTCCAGCCAAAGCCCTCTAAAAACGATCACCGTCCATATTGAAAGCTTCTAAAAAAGCATTGATAAAGCAAAAGAGACACTTATCAGTAATCCATCAAAAGTTGATCATCCTTAAAAAGAATCGGAAGAGCACATCCATTACTCTGAAGAGGCCGTATGCTAACAATTTAAAGGTTCAAACATACAAACAGAACTCTAAAAATGTACAGAAAGTAAGTTAGTGGGAAAGTTGTGGACCAGTCAACCTTAACAAAAACGGAGAAATTTAATTTTATGTTGTTCTCCCTACATTGTGTGAATGTTTAAATTTAAATATCACACTGTTATACTTATGATTTAAGATGATGAAATTGAGTAGAGATTAGTATACTCTGTACATGTCAATAGAGTTTTGCATGTTAACAAATGAGCAAAACTAAGAAAATTATAAGACAAAACAACCTTGTTTTACCTTGTGAAACATTGGGTTACCATGGAATCCCTATCTCAGAGAGATTTTACCGCTTGAATTCATTTTATTAAATAGAAATATATATTTTAATGACATAAAGCCATACCTGTTCAAAACCAACTATGAATCTCCTATCTACTCTGTATTTCAGAACTTCAACAGGAAGTAATGGTTTTCTGCAATGTTGTATTGCTTATTATTTGAGAGCTCCCAAAACAAAAACAACACATCATCTCTAAAGATGTATAGAGTGCTAGTTAATAAGAAAATGAAAGACCATATTACCACATACTCTCTGCGTTAGAGAGTTCTCTTAAGACTTAAATGCAATTCCTTCATAAATTACTGACCATATAGAAAACAAATAACCATAACATGCTCTTTAGGAAAAGGGAGGAAGATATAAATCTACATAAATTTACCTCTAAAATTTATCAAAAATCTGAAGAAACAAGGGGAAGAGAGTAGCAGTTGTAGTCCAGCAATTGTTTTCCTGCTTATATATCTTCGTCATGTTTTTGTAAGAGTGAGCTGCATGATGAAGGATATAAAGACGAAATAGGAATACACATAACCTTCTAGTAGGTAAGGTAGCATCATAGACAGTGGCGGACCTAGGGGGGGTCCGGCGGTGTCAACCGACACCGCTGAATTTTTTAAAAAACAGTATTAGGTATTGACAATAATTTTTTATATAATTAATAATAATACTTTCTATTCCATAATTATGTTATTTTGAATTATTTGAATATTTGAAAAATATTTATTACTCCATAATTTTTTGTCACTTTTTATTGTGTTTAAAAAATTAGTTATCTACCGGTGCAATGTGTATTAACTTCAATATTTTCTACTGTTATCATTTTTTATCATTTTTATAATTAATAATAATGTCATTTAATTATTTTATTTTAATTATTTTAATAATAAAGATAAAATTTATCAGTTTGATACTTTTTTGTTATTTCTTATTATGTTTCTAAAGAAAATTTAGAGACGTTACTCTCNGTGGCGGACCTAGGGGGGGTCCGGCGGTGTCAACCGACACCGCTGAATTTTTTAAAAAACAGTATTAGGTATTGACAATAATTTTTTATATAATTAATAATAATACTTTCTATTCCATAATTATGTTATTTTGAATTATTTGAATATTTGAAAAATATTTATTACTCCATAATTTTTTGTCACTTTTTATTGTGTTTAAAAAATTAGTTATCTACCGGTGCAATGTGTATTAACTTCAATATTTTCTACTGTTATCATTTTTTATCATTTTTATAATTAATAATAATGTCATTTAATTATTTTATTTTAATTATTTTAATAATAAAGATAAAATTTATCAGTTTGATACTTTTTTGTTATTTCTTATTATGTTTCTAAAGAAAATTTAGAGACGTTACTCTCTAACTCTTTATCATGCCTATATATTCCGCTCATTGGGTAGTCTAGGTCCGCCACTGATCATAGAAACAACATGCTTTGAATTCACTGAATGAATTGGGAATACAAAGACTGTTGTATTACATCTGCTCTAAAAATTTGGCTTTTGAGATGTAAGCCTTTGAACTTTGGTTATAGGAATGGACTTACTATCAGTTTTTAACTATTAAAAAGAATTACTCATACTTGAACTTGGTAGAAATCATGCCAAGAGGGTTGAAATAAAGAGAGGTGATCACAGCAAAATCTATCACTAACTAAAGAGGATGCGAGTTAACCCTACGCTTGCAACAGGTGAGCATGATATCAACATGCTCAAAATCAACCACTTATTGCTGCCTATAAATCTGAAGAATTTAAAAAATAACTAAAAAAGACTGAAAATTTCATTTATTATTTGCAAATTTTCTGGATGAGGTTCCGGAAACCTGGACAAGAAAGGTCCAAGGGTTGATTGAATCAGCCCTAGAATTTCAGCATGCCTCTTTTAGGCAAGAGATAGAACAGATGGAGGCTAGGCATAACAAGCTGATGGAAAAATCTGAAGAAAAGCATTGCTCAGATCTCAAGGAGATAAGCAAATCTATAGACAAAACTCTAGAGATCATTTCTCTATTGAGTAAGTCTATGAGCAATACAATGGAGGCTTATGAATCTGACTGCCATCTTCAATTCAAAGAAGTCACTAGAATCAAGGAGCAGATTGCCACAATCACAGTAAACCTACAGAGGCAGATGGCATTCCTCCAGATGGATATTAGGTCAGCCTTGGCAGTGTCTTCAGCAAACCAGGTGGTAACACATGACTATCTAAAGGTTATTGCTGAAAATCAGAAAGAAGCATTCAAGCTCTTAAGACCCTTTGGCACCTACACTGGGAAACACAAGCTAGACGTCACTATTCAACACAGAAGTCCATCGCAAATTCCACTGTTGCCAATGGCAATCAAACAAGGAGAACTCACATACATTCCATCGCATCTGTATATGACGGATTTGATACTTGAAGCCCAGCAGAGCAATCCGGAGAACTCAATACAACATCTGTCAGACACTGGTCTTGATGGAACAGAAGCTGTAGGAACCATTGCCTCACACTTCTCAAATGATGCCCAAACAAAGGAGAGATACAACAACCTCAAGCGCATCAAATAAGAGTGTGGAATTATGCAAGGCATTGGTTAGACTGCTGGATCATCTAAGCGCAAGAAGCAGTGAAGGCTCTTTTCATCAAACCAGGGGGAAGTATGTGAAAACATTATTTTGTTTTGATGAAAACCCCTTCTTGTTTAAACATGAGTTTTGGTTTAAACATTGCTTAATACTTCTCTTAATTATGCTTGATCATATTTATTTTAAGTATGATTTCTGAGATTTATTATTGAGCGCATACATTCAGGGGGAACTTAACTGTTTTTGGCTAACAATTGTTTTTGGTAATGAATTATTGATGAACTCTAAGCAATGGAAGACGGATACCTTAGTTTATTACTAAAGTTGGAGATCTCCGATTCAGGTACTCTACAAAATCTGCCTTCTTAAACTTAGTTTTAATCCTTAGTTCATTTCCAACTTTGCTCTAAAGTACTGGTCCTTAGGATTTTTTTAATATACAGGACTTTGAAAAATAGTACCACTTTTCTTTTAAAAATGAATTTCATATTTTTTGTACTACCTCGTCCTAATTAGAAATTAGAACTATAGGGAATCAAAAATGATAGTTTTATTTTAGGCCTTGAGAACCCAATAGGAATAATTTCCCTTTAGTGCATAGATTTTTTTTGTTACGTTGGGCCACTCTTTTGGGCTTAGCCAAACCAGAACAGTTACGTTTTTTAAACCAAACGAATCTAATTTTTAATTGGAACAGTTTCAACACCTTGGTAACTTATAAAAGATTCCTTCAACTTTTCAAAATTCAACTTCTTGGAAGTTGAAACTCTTTTACTCTCACCATTCCAACTACCCACTCAATGGAACCCGTGAACCTCCCCTCTCTCAACCTCTCCACCTATTTAAACCAAGACATTCCAATCCATTCCAATCACAAACAACTCTTCCAATATGAAAAGTTTTCAAACTCACTGTCTGAGAAAAACACCAAGAAAAATATCCTCAATGGAGAAATTTTTCTCTCTCACCCTCATAGACGGCAATGTAGAATGCCTGATGAGAAGAAAAGACATTCAAGGTCTCTGGTGAGAATCTCGGCAGTAGAGAAGGTTTATGGTGAAAATCTTGCATTTTTCTGCATTTCGCCATACACCTTCTCTGGAACAACACTCTCTCCATTTTTGTTTCATCTTTTTCCTTTTCTTTTTTTTTTGTTCTTCAAAATTCTTTTTAAAATTTTTCTCTCGGCCTACTTTCATCTCACCCTCTTCCCTTCTCTCTTTGTTTTCTTTTCTTTTATTCTTGCTGTCTCTGCACCCTTCTCCCACCTCTTTTCAAAATTTCTTTTCAAAATTTTTTTTGCAGCAATAAGGCAGATCTTTCTTTGCCTTTCAGCTGCAAGACAGGCCTCTTCCCTGTTGTATTTAGGTGCCCTAGCGGCAATCAAATACCTATGTAACTGTACACTTTATCATGAATGAAAGGCTCTGAAGTATGTTTTATATCTCGTGTAACATAACATAGCTTCAGTCCATAGACGATAGCGCTTCACTAACATAGATGAGGACTACGATGTTCTGATTATGAGACTGTTACTTCTTGACGAAGGCTATGTCTAAAATATCCCTAGTCGCACTTTATGATAATACGGACATCATAACGTATCAAGACTAGTACGTACGAGATGAGATAGTTGCGTCTCATAGACTATAGGTATTGTGATATCTTAATCTGTACGTAGGTGCATATTATATCGATAATATGTGACTGGATTGACCCATCTTGAGAATACTGCATGGATCTACAGTAATGTGTTTATCAGTATTCTCAA